CACCAAAAACCTAAGATTCTCAACCAGAAGCGCCTTGGGCTTGAATCCTTACGCCGCCATCCCCTGGCCAGCCCAGCCTTCCTGAGATGGACTGGAAGCTCCGTCATTGCTTCTCTTCATTTCTGAGAGCAGCCTGCAGGGGCCAGATCTGACCCAGCCCCGAGCTCACGTCTGCTCTGAGCTCCTTGATATGTCCCACACTTCCAGGCCCTGACTATACAGCCCATCCCTTCCCCAGCCAGGGTGGTAGATCCCTGAGGGTTCTGACCGCCGTCTGGGGCAGCCCCTGAGTTCACATGCCCCAGGATGGGTGCAGCCCAGGCCCGGCCACCTTGAGGCACCAGAAATGGGGGCACGGCTCCCAACGGGCTGAGGAGTGCTGGGGAAAAGTCTCCCTTTCCCGCCGGGCTCCCCAGAGCCCACCATGCGGGAGGGTGCCCCCAAAACATAGAGGAGACACAGGAAAGGAGAATGAAGAGACCAAGTCCCCAAAACATCTGGGTTCCTGGACCTAACCCCTCCTTAAAGCCCTGGGCTTTTGATATGAATCAATTAATAGCGCTGTTTTCTGCGTACACTGGCTAAGAACTGCATTTCTGTCACTTGCCTTTGCATGACCAATGCTCACAGTTGGCTTTAATTTCAAGGCTATTTCCACAAAGAAGTAAACTGTGCTCTTGTTTTAACTCTCTTGGAGACAGAGCACAGAGTCACCATGGTGCAGGGGCTGCCCTCAGTTCCTAGCTTGTGCTGTTCAAAAATTATTTCAGCAAATGGCAAACTAGGGCCTATTTTGGACTTTCAAGATTACCCTGGGTAGGCCAAAGTTGCCACTGTAATGAATGCCAAGGGTCTACTGAATGAAAAGGTTTTCTTCACAAGCTACCTCCCCGCACTGCCCAGGCCTAAGCCGCCCGGGGGGCATCGCTCAAGCCCTCCCCTGTGCCAGGTCCCAGCTCACTGCTGACTCCCCGAGGGGCTGGCACACCCTTGCACTGTGCTGTGCAGGCCTGGCTCAGAGCTGGCCTTGACACCAGGGCCTTGAGCACCCTTGGGGCTTGTGAGAGTGTGCTGGGGAAAGTTCTAGCCCATGTGGTTTGGAAAGCAGGGATCTAGGTAAACATGAAATCCAGTACAAGACTTACTGTAAGCAACTTGAGATCTTAGGAAAGAAAATAGATGGTTTGAAATCAAGTGAAAAATAATGAAAACCTTCTCAAGGCTTTGCACTCAGCCTGGGGAAAACAAAAGTCCAAGACCAGCTTTGCTACTGTTCATTCGGCCTCCGAGGGTAAGTGGCCAGGCTGCCCTCTGCTGCATCTGTGTCTGCCCATGGGGCCCTCACCCTGGCTCCACCCAGGGCTGGGGACAGCTGACGGACACGAGAGGCTGACTCTGGAGTGAGGGCTGCTGCTGGGCCTCAGGCATGAGTCTCAGAGCCCTTGCTAGGAGGGCAGGATGGCCATGCCCTCAGTCACCCACACACTCTGCACACACACATCAGGTCGCCCTTTGCACAGTATTCAGAAACCACCACCAACCCCCGCATCATCTCACACCCACTCACCGATCTTCCAACCACACACACACACCACCACAAATGCACACATGCCGTGTTTGTGAAGAACTGGGTGTCTTCCCAGCCCCCCCTACTCTGTGTCTCCTGGCTGGACAGTGTATGATTTAAGAGACTCTGCTCTCTTTCGGGCTACGAGGTCATGTTTTCAACAACCTAAAGCAGCACCAGATCACCCTAAAACGGTATCAAAAAGTTCAGCAAAGCTGAACCTGAACCTCAGAGCAGGAAGGCCCTTGGGGATTGCCTGGTCCTACAGTTTTTAAGCTGTGTTTGCACAACTGGGGCTTCTCCAAAGAGGGGTCTCCTGGCACCAGGAAGGGGCAGGCAGGGGTTTGCTCCTCCCCACCCCCACTGCTCTGGTCAAAGCGATTCTGCTGCATAGGCTTTGTGAGGTGAGCTTTGGGATTCGATTCATTGGGAAAAAAGTCAGATCTTGTTTCACTGCAAAGAGAGTTTCAGAAGCACTAGTCCGACCCACTCCTGTTAGAGGTAGAGAGCCGAAGGCACAGGTTGGTTCTGCCATACACCTTGCCGGTGGCAGAACAGAGACGGGGACCCAGGTGTTCAGACGCTACATAGCAGCCAACTAGTGGGTGTCTTCCTGTGATGTCACCACCTGGGCTAGCCTGGACCAGCCTCTCAGCTCAGTCTGACAAGTGCTGCCTGTGCAGGGTGCCATGTGCCCAAAGGTCCATAAAGAAAGGCCTCTATAAGGTGCTAATCCCTGAGGTAGGCCACGAAAAGGGGGGCTTTCGTGGTCCCCGGGTCATTATTACTGCCAAGCAAGTCACAGCAAACCCCCAGCCAGGCCTGGCATCCCCCAGAGACAGAGACGGGAGCTCTGGCGTGCAATGTGACTGACACCTGATGGGGAGGGGACCACTCAGGAGCTCCCCTTCTCAAGGAGGGCGAGGGAACAGCTTCTTCAGAGGAGCTCAGAAATGCTGGGAAAACTAACGTGCTATTTTAAATAATTTCAGTGTGACTCTTTCACAGGATCTGGGCGGCATCTCAACAGGCTATTCCCGTCCTCACTGTCAGTCCTGTGTCTCCTCCTCACGGCTGCCACCCCTTTGGAAGCCCCTTGGAACTTAGGGATGGCAGGCCAGCTCCACTCCAACCTTCGTGTCTCTGGCAGCCCTGGCGGGGAGTGGAGTGGTCGGGCAGCCAGTCTGGGAGTGCCTGGCCGGGAAGGAGGGTGGGTCTGGAGAAGCCCCCGAGGCCCCATTCTCCACCTGAAGCCCTCAGACAGTCTAACTAAAAGTTTTCTTGAACCGGGTGTCTTTCCAAGCACACCTCTGGGCAGCGCACTCCCAGGGCAGAAATCGGTCCTCCCGCTGCCCCTTTTCCTGGCCCCTCTGAACAATGACACACAGTACCTAGGCAGCCCCCGGGCCACTCAGGGAGTGTCTGCCAAGGGTGAGCGCTGCCACAGGGGGACCCATCACACGTTGCAGGCCATCTTCACCACGAGGTACCAAGCCAAGACAGGACAGGATGAGACACAAGAGGACCCTGAGCACCGCGGGAGAGGATGGGACCAGCAGCGCCACCATCCAAGGCTTGCCACCTACCCCGAGCCACGCCAAGCACACAACATGTATTTCTGCATTTAATCTGGTGAGGCAGGAATCATCACCCCCATTATACAGAGTAAGAAACTCAGGCTCGAAGGAGTATGGACTCAGACCTGAAACCAAGTCTGTTTTACTCCCAAGTTAGCAAACCCAAAGAGCCCCGTCTCGGGTCAGGCTGCCTGGGTCGAGCTGTGCGACTTTGGGGAAGTCACTGGCCTCTCATCTGAAAGACAGAGATGGTGACAGTAACCACACTAGTGCCACCTAACAGGGTTGCTGTGGGGATTAAAGGCGTTTCACGCGTAGGACGTTACAGCAGACGATCTGGCACGCGGGACGCTTACTCGTTGGCTGCTACCGTTCTCACTGCCGATGGCAATGTCCTCCACGCTGTGTGGGAGGCCACAGGGGTAAGACAAGCCTCACCAATGCGCTGCTGGGTCCAGCGCTAAAGCAGGTCTCTGTGCTGGTCCTCCTGGAAGGCGGCCAGGCTGGCCACAGTGCCTGGGGAGGCTTCGCGCCTCGGCCTCCGGGACCCGGGAAGGTCCTCAGGGGCCCTGAGCAGGAGAGAGACTGTCTTTACATACTCTCTCTTGCTTGCAGTGGGGACAAGGGGAAGAGGGGACTCCAGCCACACTGCATGTGTCTGTGTGTGTGTCTGTGTGTGCATCTCTGCGTCTGTGTGTGTTTATCTGTCTCTGTGTGTGTGTCTGTGTGTCTCCGTGTGTGTGTGTCTGTGTGCCTGTGTGTAGTAGATGGGGAGGGGCATGACAGGGTTGTGACTTCAGGCCCATGGGCACAAGGCTGTGCAGGTCCAGCGGGGCAGCCTTCCCCACACAGATGCCCCACAGGTGTCATGACCTAGGCAGGGACTGACCCTTGCCTGGCTTGGTTGGATGGAGCAGGGAGGTGGCAGAAGCAGCTCTGTGGATGACATGAAGTGTTGCCTGCACATGGGCCTGGAAAGCCCCTCAGATGGACAGGGCTGCCAGAAGAGCTCCCTAAGGAGCATACATGTGAACAGGGTGCCCGGCTAGCAAGCAGGGTCTGCAGCAGCTGCCCCCACGACACCTAGAGCAGAGACACTTTGATCCCCAGAGCTAGGAGGCCCCGTTCAGAAGGGAAAACTGAGGCCAAGAGAATTGCAAAAGGGCCCCACCTTTCCGGGAACTCAGCTTCCCCTCAGTGAGCTCAGAGATCTCACCCACACAACCATCAGCCCAGGGATTAGCAAACCCAGGCCTGGGGAGAAGGCAGTGCGGCTTATGGTCTCTGTGCACGTGAGTCCGGCCAGTAATGAATCATATCATTATGGCAGGATTAGGAGAAAAATGCCATTAGAAAGTGCACACACACGCATTTAATAAGGTCAGTAGCAGTGAGCAGCAGGCAGGCCAGCAGCACGAGGCTGCAGAGCTCCTGCCATCCTCCTCCTACCCGCACCAGAGGCCACGGGAAATGCGGACAGGGCCCACCCGAGCCCAGGTGTGGGGAGCAAGTGCCTTCTTCTGCCGGGGCCTCCCCAGACTGGGCACCACATGGCCACTCTTTCCATCTCCCCAGTCCCCAGGGGCCACCTGCTCAGAGTTGTTCTCAAAACTTCCCCAACACCAAGCACCTCCCTAAAGTAAAAATTCATTCCCCCGGGTCTTCAGGCTTCAGAATGTAACTGTTCTCTCACGCCACAATGGCTAACTGCCCCCTGGTCCGCTGCTTCATTCGTCCTTTCGCCCACGCTCCCTGAGCGCCCGCAGGGTGCCAATCTCTGCCCTGGGCTCTGGGGAGGCGGCAGTGAACCAGACAGACAAGCCCGACCCTGGGAGTTGGAGGAGGAAGATACTCACAGCTCTGTGGACCTGGACAGGATGGCCGACAGGGTGAGCAGGACACATCCGTAGGGGCCTGCCTCGAACTGGGAAGATGAGAAACGAATGAGCACCCATCTGGTGTCTGAACCTCCCTCCTCTCACTTCTTTGGGGGCCGCACCCCAGGGAGCAGCCTGACTCTCAACCAGCTGCCTCCCCTTGGTCCCAGAGATTGCCAGGCGGCCTCACGGCAGACCCCATGCAGATCTCAACAATCAGACCCCCTAAGGGATGGGGAGTAGATGCAGTGCCCGCCAAGGAGCATCCCCCAACCTCTGAGTCTTGAAGACATAAAACAAATATAATAAAACAGAAACAGACTCACAGATATAGAGAACAAATCAGTGGTTACCCATGGAGAGAGGGGCAGGGGAGGGACAAGAACGGGCAGAAGGTTAAGAGATACAAACAATTACGTACAAAATAAATAAGCAACAAGGATATATTGCACAGGACAGGGAAATATAGCCATTATTTTATAATAACTTTAAATGGAGTATAATCCATAAAAATGCTGAATTACTGTGTTATACATCTGAAACTAACATAATATTGTAAATCAACTACACTTCAATTTAAAAATATGTGTATTTTCTAAATACTATACATACGTAGTCTTATTTTCACCCAGTAATTCAATCAGTTATTCAAAAAAATTACTGCATAAACTTTTTGTGTCAAGAAGATGCTCCCTGCTAAAATAAAGCTATACTTGTAAACAAGGTAGACGTAGATCCACCTTCACAGGAAGTAACTCAGGAAAGAAATAATAGTAAGCAACTTGAAAAAAATGGGGAAAAGGCTCTATGCTGATGGGAAATACAGGTTCTCTGGAAACACACAAAGGACCTTCAGTACAGACTCAGGGCTTAGGGAAGGAAGGAGAGTCAAGGAAGGCTTTCTGGAGGAAGTGATGTCTAGACAGAAACCCAAGGGACAAGGAGGAATCAGAAGAGAAGGGAACGTTGTTCCAGGCTAGAGAAAAAGCACGTGCAAAGGCCCAGAGACGAGAAAGGTCTGGTTTACTGTGGTGGGAGCACAGAAAAGCCTGAGGCCATCATTTTTTTTTAAGTAACTTTAAATTTTTTTTGGAAGCAGAAATGGAATGAATAAATCCACAACAATCTTAAATCAACCTCATCTTAATTTTGTGATCTCAGGCTTCTGTTGTTCTCAGTTTCTCCATTTGCAAAACAAGGATGACCAATACCTCCCTTGCATATTTCCTTGGGTTACGGTGCACATCCTATGAGACCACAACTGTGGAAGTGCTCTGACAATTGCAAAGAGTAACGCTGCCAATCCCGCACCAGGGGACAGAGGCCTGGGAGGCCCCAGGCCACCAGCGCCCTTGTCACAGCTCTACTACAGGCTTGCCTATTGCCTTAGGGGGTGACAAAGCTGAGTCTCAGTTTTCCTTCTGAAATGCCTACCCACTTCTGCCATAGACGTGCACATGGTCTTGGGGAGGCCACAGCCCATCCTTGGTCTGTTTAGCCCTCTGCCCTGCCTGCAGTGCCTTCCTACTTGCAGGACAGCAATGAAGTAAGGAACACAGACACCCATTGGAAGCCTAACTCTCTGTGTAAACGTACAGAACTCTTATTATATTCAGGCCAGCATTTTCCATAGTCCTGGGGCCACCTCCAAGGGGACCTCACCCTGAGCTGTGGATATGCCTGTCCATGTGGATGGTTGAGGTGAGACGGCAGAGGGTGGGGACATGATCCTGGCCTGGGGCATCTGGCCCTTGCTGGAATAGGACTGAATGGCACCAATATTCCATTCTGTTTTTAAAAAATATTTATTAAAATTATCTCATCAAATTCCAGCCATCAAGACATGGAAGGCCACAGGGCGAAGTGCCTGCATTAAAAGGAGAGCTCAGGCAGGCAATGGGGCCGGAACCCACCAGCAGGGTCTGGAAAAATGTTTGGTACTGCTTGGGAACAAGGGGCCACTCTTCCTTGAGGCTCTGGCCCTGCGGAGACCTGGGTCCATCAAGAACCCCGATGGGAGGCAGGAGTGGGAGCGTCCCCCAGCTCACAGAGGGGCCAGACACCTCACCGAGAGGGTGAGTGGTAATGAAAACGCAGCAAGGAGGCTGTTTATTCTGGGCAGCGGCGGATCAGTGTTCACTTCCAGCCCTGGCATGAGGAACCCCTCTTAGGCCCAGGCCATGAAAAATGACTTTGGTGAGGGGAGTGCTGAGGCAGCTGCACAGCTTCCAGCAAAAACATCAATTCAACTGCAGGGGGTAGACACCGCCTTCCAGAGCAAAGAGGCCAAATACTGACCGCTGGTACCCGGGAACCAAAGCCAGGAGAGGAGGAGGAATTGCTTTGCGTCCAGAGGCGTGGCAGAAAGAAGGCAGTTCCCTCCCTTGGCACCAGCCCCACTCTCAGGACCTCTTTCACACTCACTGCCTTGCTTGGCCGTCACTGAAACTCTGGGGGGACAGGCCAAGGGAGGAGGGACCCCATCTTATAGACAAGGACATAGACAACCTTGGTGCTAAAGGGCCACCCCAGGCCATCAGGGGCAAAGATGGGGCCTCAGATCCTTGGGGCATGGGAGCAATCACCCTGGGGCCCCTCCTTTGCCCCATAGAAGCCCCACAGGGAACTTCTCTCCTCCAGCTCCACTTCACCCGACGGTGTGAACACAGGTGCCTTGGTCCTGGCCTCCCTGAATGCACACTGATGCTATCAGGGTTTGCTCTTCTCTCAGACGCACTGCTGTATTCTCTCACCACTCTGGGCGTTTAATAGCAGCTGCCCTTTCTGCTTATTTAAATTGCCTAGTACTTAATTTGGAAGACATTCTTTCTCGTATGTTCAAGTTTCTTCTTTAAGAACCACAGATGGACAGTAAAGAGCTGGAAGATTCCTGCTAACTGCTCCATCTTCCATTTTCCAGATGGGGCCACAAATAACCCAAGAATAAGCCAGAGGAGGTTCTGGGGCCCCTGCTCTAGGCCCCCCATGGCCCTGAGCAGGCAGTATGCATGCTGCACCTGCAGATGGCCCACTGGGTTATGCCCATGAAGACCCAGTGAGAGCCAGGGACAGGGAGCAAGTGACAGTCAGATGGGACCTCCAGATGCCGAGGCCAGGACCCCTCTTACATCAGAGTGCCTCCCACGCACCACCGGGACAGGCCAGCACAGAAGGGAGCACCCTGAGTTGGCAGCCCTGGCCAGGCTCTGGGCCTCTCCTTGAGTGGAGTCACGTCCAAGGCGTCAGCTCCGGGGCAGAGGGTTTCAGGTAGCCCAGTGCCTTAGGGATGGCACACCTGCCTCCTTGTGGGCTCAGTACAGGCCCCATTTTCCTATGCAAGGGGCAGCTGTGTGTTCAGGGCCAGGACACGTCCCAGGCTGTGCCCAGACCCTCAGCATCTTCCGGGAATTATGTCCGAGGAGGGTATTCTGACAGCAAGAGTGTTTGGTCTGGTCCCACATCCGGCAAGTTCTCTCACCCTCTGGACTCACCACCAAATGCTCTCATGTCTTCTCTGGACCCTGAAAGAGCCGAGCCCACAGCCCAGAAGGCTGAAGGGAAGGCCGAGAGGAGGCACAGGGACTGGCCTGTACTCCAGGAGAGGGTGGCCTCATGCCCTTTCTTTCCTTCAGCCCTGACACATCTCAGGAGGCATCGGTCCCCGGCCTTGGCTCAGGCTGCCTCCTGCCTGTCATGTTTCCCTCCGGCCTCTATGTGTCTACAACTAACCCATCTCAAGGTTGCCTTAAGTGATCATGGCAATGGTGACAAAGCATCCAGGATGAAAGCTAAGGATCACGGCAATGGGGAACAGGACGCAGTGGCTCCAGGCACTTTGCACGGTGCTCTGAGCAGGCACTGTTGTCATCCACATTTTACACAGGAGGAAACTGAGGCACAAAGGGTCCAGTAAGTTGCCCTAGGCCACAAAGCTACTAAGGGGTGTAGCCTAGATGCAAACGCAGGCTGACGGCTCCAGAGACCACACTCTCCAGCCCTGGAGCATTCAACAGCCTCCTCCACAAGGCCAGCGAGGCTACAGTCAAACTCTGAGTTCCCTCAGCCCTCTAACTGGGCTGCTCCCAGGCTCTGGCGGGGTTCCACCCCATCTCACAGCCAGGGGCAGATGCATGGATCTCCTCCAGCAGACAGGATGCTCCCCAGGCCCCGCCTGGCCTGGCCCTGCCTCCAGGGACACCAACCGAGGTCCTCTACCAGCGGGGTCTCCATCAGTGGTGCTCAGACCTCCAACCCATCCCTTCACCTGTAGTCATGTTAACCCTCAAGGACACAGTGGCAGAGATTAAATCCTCGGCCCCTCAAGCCCACTCTTCTCCAGCTTACATCACCTCACAACCCCAGGGCGGGGATGAACAGGGAACAACCCCAGCTCACCAGCATCCCTTCCACAAAGAAAGCAGAGGCTTAGCAATACCCATCCCATAAACCAAACCATTGTTCATACCTGATGGACACTCTGCTGAAGAAAAGTCACCAGCTCCTCAAAGCAGGTCAAGCTGTGAGGATGAGCTGAGAAACACAAACACACAGAGTAAACTGCCCAAGCCCCGTGGACGGCGGCCCGTGCTGGATTAGCGTCTGTGGCCCCGACTTCAGTATCTATAAGACCCCGGGGCGGGATGTCCCTGCAGTCAGAGAGCCATGGTGGAGAGGCGCTCCCACACTGGTGTGCAGTTTAAAGGCTTCAGGACCCAGCTGGGGTCTGTGGGGCTGCTACCCTGAGGAAGCTCTGGGCCTGCCTTTAGAGACCCCAGCATTCAAGACACGGGACTAAAGCCAAGGAGCCAGCATCACGCACGGCCCTGACGGCAGGCTGGGGCCGCACCCTGCGGGCTAGTTACGCATATCTGAGAAGCACCTGGGGGCGGGGGACACAAGGGGGTGCAGGGTGGGTGACCCACCCAGAGCGTCATGGCCAGGCCAGTTCTAAGCCTGCCAGGCAGAGTCCAGAGTTCAGTGGCAAGCAGTGGTGTTGAGTTTCCTGTGCTTTCTCAGGCAGGTCAGGAAAAAACACTTTTACAGAAAACATCCAACAGAGTGAGACCCTTAATTATGATCCCAGGGCACGCATGCCCAAACCAAGGTCAAAGGAAACAAGCTAAGCAAAACAAAAATCCTCAGTGAAGAGGAGGTTCATTTGAGGGAAATGTCACTGTTTCTGCATTTTTCACACATCTCTCATTTCTTTCCCATCCTTTGCCTTGCTTGGGTCTGGCTTTACAGCTGGTACTCTGTCCATCAGAGCTCTTCTCTGCTTATCTAACTTCCTCCCCCTCTCCCTCCTACGCCCCCCACCCCTTCCCATAACCATTCGAGAGAGGATGCTAAGACATACAAAGAAGGACCCAGGGAAGGCTGGGGTTTAGCCGAAAGGCATTATGCTCACAATGTTAAGGGAACTTCAGGCTCTGTACAACCCCGACATGACAGGGCGCCATCAGCCTTCTGGCCAGTTCTGACCAGAGCCCATCCCCAAAGCCCCCCAACTCTGCCCCCACCCCAGTCCCAAGTGGAGGATTCTGCTGGCCTGGACCACCAGGAGGGCTGGCATCCCCAGCTAAGAAAGGATTTACTTATATGAAAGGAGATTGTCCCCAAACAAAGCCAAAGCTTGCGTGATAATTTTCCAGAAAGCCGTACTGTTTCTAAGACTCCATCTGCTTTGTATTTCCCTGTTGGACTGAACTGCTGTGTTCCCGAAGCCCTAAAAAGGAAAAGGAGATGCATGAGTCTCTGCGCGGAGAGAAGACGTGCCCTAGAGCCAGGGCGAAACCACACAGGCCGCTCAGTGAGGACAAACAAAAAGGTGGCCCAGAGGGGAAAAGGGAGCCAAGTGCTCCCAGTTTTCTCTGCTTTGAACTCACCCACTAGGCTGAGGCTGGAAAACTCCACTGACGGGGGAGGAGGCACGTGGAATGAAAAAAAGGCAGCCGAAAGAGAGCTTGGGGTAACCAAACCCAAGGAAGTCTGTCTGCCTCTCACCCGCTGACGAGCGTATCTGCAGACTAAGGGATGCTGACTTCCCTTCATTCTCAGGGACGTGAGGAAGCCCAGCCTCCGTCCTCTCAGCGGACGTCTGTTTACGCAGCACCTGCATGTGCAGCCCAGGGAGGCATGGACTAGAAGCAGCATTTGGGTTTGGGGCTATTATGACATCAGCCTGCTGTGCAGCCTTAGACTAGCCATTGCCCCTCTCTGGGCTTCTGTTTCCTAACCTGTAAAATGAGGAGGGATTGCATTTTTGCCCCATCTGCTCTTAGGGCTACCATGCAGATCCTAAGGGCCAGCATTAGTAAGTTACCTAGAATATGGGTACCAAGCACAAGCACTCAGTAGGAACAATAGTGATAATGATGATGATGATACCTAACACTGACAGATACTTAGATGTGCTAGACTTGGTCCTAAGTGCTTTGTATTATTATTATTTATCACTTATTTATACGGATAAGCGATTTAAACTTATCAAGTTCCTTATAATCATCTATTATATATCATTTTATTTATATTGACTTATTTAATTCTCACAGTCACCCTATTAAGTGATCATTAATATCACCCCTATTTTTCAGATAAGTAAACAGATTAGGCACAGACAGGGTGAGTCAGTTGCCCAAAGTTCCACAGTCAATAATCAACGGCACTGGGAGTCAGCCTCTGGAATCTCTTCTCTTAAGTACTGTGCTCCACTGACCACTGTGCACCACCAGAATGTGGCCCGTGGCCCCAAAGGGCACCCCCTTTACTAAAACTTAGCCACACAGCTGGGATGGTATGATGCTTCCACTCTAGAGGGTCAGGCTGAAGAGCCAGCAGACTAGCCGTGTGGATTACGAGGATGGCTTATCCGTCAGCAGGACAGAGGCGGCAGGGAAAGGACAGCGCTGGCTCTGCCACCACCCTCCCACCGCTCTGAGTTCTCCTCGTCAACGGAACGGGGATCCAAGTGGCAGAGCAAACCGCCCCATGCTTTGGGGGCTGGGGGGAGCAGTACAAGTGACTGGGTCAGCTGAGGGGCTGTCTTCCAAAGTGTCTGGATTAGAGAAATATAGAAGGAGGGAGCCGGCTGTGTCCCCCAGGGCTCTCTGGGCAGGGGGTGTCCTCCCAGATCTGATCCCCTCTCGACTAGAGCTGTGTGGAGGGCTGGCCCTCTCCCAGAGCGGGGCTGCCCAGCACATCAGGCTGACTCTTTGGGCTCCTCCTGGCCTGGAGCACAGGGCAGAGGTCTGGGAGGACACAGACATGGTCCTTATGCCCAGACAGCCTGCGTGAGAAGATTTCCCCAAGGACAGGAAAGCACACAGCCAGCTTGCCTGCAGCTGTGCCCGCCCGAGACTGAGTGCTAGCAACACAGTCCTGGGAAGCACTTACAGTGTGATCACAGCTCTCTCATGGCCCCCAGCCCGCCACACAATGTCCGCGATGGCCAGGGCCAGGCAGTGGGTCCTGTGGGCGTTCGAAGGCTGCAGCTGCCTGGGGGCAAAAAAAAGGAAACGGGTTTATGCCTCTGAGAACACAAGTCAGAGACAGCGCCGCCCTGTGGCAGACGGCCTGTCCTTTCCTCTGCCACCCAGAGGGGCCCTGCAGCCCAGGGACTCAAGAGGAGCCTGGGGGGAGGGGCCTCCACAGATGAGGACCCAGGGAAGAGCTTTGAGGGAGGGGCCCAGGCAGGTATGCTGGAGGAGGAGCAGGCCAAGGAAATCACCCATGGGAGCAAAGGGGACTCTGGAGGCTTGGCAGGGCCCAGAGGTGTGTGGAAAAAAAGGCCATGAGTTCTGACAGGAGCAGCCCAGGGGGCCAAGCTCAACATGCCCGGAAACTGCTCCCACTCCAGGCAGAGGCACAGCCCCACCCTACCCGGGCCAGCCCTGACACCCAGGTCCTTGGAGACGACGGCTCACGCAAGCGGGTGCCCTGCGCTCCCACCAGCTGATAGGAAATGAGACCACTCATGTGAGGGGAAAGTAGCCTGACTTGCTGGTTACTTAGACACAGGACATGGGTGACCCCTGGGTTTTTACTGAGTGCATGGTGATGCCACCAGCTGAAATGAGGAATATGGGGTGGGGAGGGGAGAGGCAGCTGGAGGTGCATAGGGGACCCCCAGGTGAAGCTGTTGCTCTGACGCCCGGGAGAGTGGTCCGGGCTGAGCAGAGGTTTAAGAACCACCAGCATGTAGGAATCCTAAGCACTTTGAGTGGCTAAGATTTGCCAGAGAGAGGATGAGGAAGGTGGAGGCAGCGGCCAAGGGAGGAGCCCAGTGGAACTCTGGCGAATGGAGGAGGTGGGGGAGGAAGGCAGGAAAGGCAGAGCTGGGAGATGGGCTGCTACAGTCTTAGGGGCAAAAGGGTTTAAAAGGATGGTAGTCAGCGGTGTCAAAAGTGGCAGAGAGATCTCTTACCATAAAACCAGTAACTAAGAGGTCCCTAGTGCTCAAAGTGCATGAGAGAGAAGAGGCAGCAACCGAATACAGACGCTGCTTCTCTGTCACATCTCCAGGGCTCCGCAGAGCTGTGCCTCTTGCCCACTCCTGGATTCTGGGAAGGTTTTCGAAATTCTTGCAAAAGTGGGCTGAGGGTCTGAGTGTCTCACTTCCTAACAAATAAAAGGGGCTTGATGAAGACCCTGCTGGGGCTCAGAGGGATACAGGGGGAGTTTCAGTGTTGTCAGTCACCAAGGAGCCCCTGAGCTCCAGGCTGAGCTGGGGTGGCGGCAGTGTGTGTGGTGGGGGGGGGGATGATGACTGGGCATTTCTTCCTTCTTCTCCAGGGTAGGAAAGAGGAACCAGGACACCAGGACACAGGTCACCATGGTAGGCAGCTTGTGGTCACTGTCCAGTGCCCAGGACAGCTGCCTGCACCCAGGCTGTTGTGGTCCAATAACTTTAAGGTGGGAGGTGATGTGACTTAGGGTCCCTCAGTTTCCCCATCCCTAAACTGGCAATAACAGTGGTACTTCCTTCATTGCATTGGGAGCTTTAAAGGAGATGACGTGTGTAAAGCGCCTGGCACGTGGACAGTGTTAAATAAAAAGGCCTATTGCTGTTGTTTTTATGGAAACATCAAGTCCATGGCCAACGAGTTCATGGAAAAATGAACTCCCAACATCTGATGTGAAAGTGAGAACAAGCCGCTGACACCAGGCGATCCTTCAAACTCCAATGAGACAAACAAGCACTCAACCACTTGAGAAACGAAACACACACTGCCTGGTACGTCTGCAGCCTCAGGAAGCCCACTGCTCCCTAGAAACAGCTACCACACCATCAGCAAACCCGGGGGCCAGAGCTGTGAGGAGCGCTGCCCCAGGCCACCGTCAACTATGAAAACAAAGGTAAGGAAACGTTGCTCTGGGTTCAGGAGAGGACGCCAAGGGCCAGCGGGGGGCCTGGAAAGTAGGGCTCGTCAGGCAAAAGAGAAAGGACTGGACGTTTATCTCTTTTGAATTCAGAACTCGTGAATGTGGACTCCATCATCACTGTAGCTCCTGTTTCTGTGCTGCCCCAGGTGACAGTCAGTCGTGTCAATCCCACCTCCTGAGTACCCGTGCCCCCTCCCTACCCGTCCCCACCTGGGACTGGGGTGCCCTGCTCCTCAGCTGGGCTGTACAGCCAGTGCCTGACCAACGTTGCTGGTCCATCTTGCCCTCCCTCCAGTCCTCACTGCACATACTCACTGTGGGCTCTTCCTACAGCACAGATGTGACCAGGGCACTCCCCAGTTAGATCCCTCAACAGGCGTAGGAGTGGTGCATAGTTATGCCTGGATTGTATACTCCACCCTGAACATCTATGCTGAAAACCTCCAGACAGAACTAAGTGGGCACCTTCCAATCATTCACTGTGTTCCACACTAACTTACTGAAGCAGGCGATGCTTGATTGAAAGCTTCTCAGTGCAGCCACAGATAAGACTTTAAAAAGCAACATATATTAAGTGCTTATGTGCCAGGCCCTGTTAGAAGCACTCCATTCATATTATTTCATTAATTATTAAAACCACCCTATGAAGGAGGTACTATTATTGTCGTCTTTTAGAATGGGGAAACTGAGGCACAGAGACTAAATGATTTACCCAAAGCCACACAGTAAAAACTGGATAAAGTGAAACAGCAGTGAGGGAGGAAGGGGAGAGAGGGGAACCAGCTGTCCAGAGCTCCTGGTGTTGGGAACCAGCACCCCTTTGCCTCTGAGCCTGTCTTCCCAGCACGTGCAGCGCTATCAAGGGCTCTGGCTCCTGGCCCAGCCTGTCTTCTGCGTCTCCCAGGCTCTAATTACAGACCCTTTGAGCCTGTTTCTATATAAAAGTCCTCGTTCTTCTCATTGGCTTCCATTTAGCCTCTCCATCCTTTCCTGGGCCTTCTCCAGCCTGCTCTTTGGAGACATAGCTTTCCAGAAAACAGTGACATTGGGAAATACGGTGGTGGGGCCTGGGCTCCTATCCTGACTCAAGGCCTTGGGGAAGTCCCTGACCCTCAATGGCCTTTGTCTCCCCACCCATAAATGCCAGCATCAAGCCAGCTGCCTCCGGGCATCATTTTAGCCTTGCCATTCTGCCACTGACCCGGCCACAGGGTAGACAGGGCTGCAGTGGCTGCAGATGACAAGGGGAAGGGGGCGCTGTGGTGAATCACCCAGACGCCACCTTCACCAGGAAACTCAGTGTCTGCCTTCATTTCGGGGACCAGGATGACCCTGTATAGCCTGAACAGTCAGGCACATATTTATCAGACTCCTACCATGAATCTAGCACCTGGCTGGGCTCTTAAACCAAGAGCAGTTTCTTTTTAAAAGAGTCTTATTCCTCACAGTAGAAGGGCAGGATTTGTCTAGGGATGGCAGCGGGTGTGGGAGAGTAATACATCCCATCTTTGGCTTAATTACCCAAGTCTTTCAGATTAAAGAGATGTTTCTACTCTCATCATCTCAAAACAGGCTGACCCGTCCACTCTGATGTGCCCACTAGGCTGAAAAGATTGGAGGAAAGCCGGTGAATAACTGTAGGTCTTTCCGCCCCATCTCAGGGTCAAAAGCTGCTAGCGGAGGGTGGGAAGAAGGCTGACCTGGGGACCACCAGACCTGGGTTCCGAGCCTGGCTCCGCTAACTAGTGTCCAGAGAGACCCTGAGCAAGTGCCCCTCCTTCTCTGGGCCTTGACTTTCCCAGTTGATACGCGAAATGGGGGTGAGAGGACAGCTCCCTTGTCCGTGGCTCTCCCCAGGCCCGCAGAAGAACGAGGCTCACTATCTTTTCCCACGAGCCAAGCCGGCAGGCACAGCCCCTCCTCAAGTGGAAAAACACCAGATCCTGCTGCCAGGCTCTGTCTTCCCCGTTTGAGGAGAGGTGGGCTGCCGGCCTGATGGAATGAGTCATAATGAAGACAGACAGTCCTGCAGAAAAAACATCACCCCTGCCAAGATGCCTTTATTTCAGCATGACTTCCCTGGAGGGCGCAGTCACAACCTCGTGCTGCTTTCACAGAACCACTTCCCTGTCCGTTGTGGGGGAGACAGCAAGCAGGGGACCACTCCCCGCCCCTCGCCCAGGCCTGCAGACCCAGCGCAGGAAGACACACCAGTCCCGGAGCCCAGCAAGGGCCCAGAGTTCGCTGTGCAGCTGCAGGGGCCGCCTCTGTGTGGCCTGCGGGCCATCGTGGTGTTTCTGAAAGGAACAGAGGAGCTTGTCTGCTTTTTTTTTTAATCTGGATCATTTCTGAAATCCTGGAATTTCAGAGTCAAAAGGGAGTCCTGAAGGCACAAACCCAGCTCAGCATACACAGCCCATGCAGCAACATCAGTGACTCAGTCAATCAGTCCTGAAACTGTATAAAGGAATCAATGAAACCAAAAGAGCTGGGGCTGAGAAGGTTCCCTCCCTCAGGGGTGTCAAATGTCACCCTTGGCTCATGTGAGGCAGCGGGTCCCCAGGAGTTTGCTGTATTACTCTCTGAACTCTTCTGTATTGATTTTTTTTTCCAAATTAGGAAAAATTGGGAGGTTCTTCCCAGAAGCCCTTCGTAAACTACAGAGCCGCACCTTGGTCACTGAGAGTCCGTCTGGGGGTCGAACCCTAGGGTGTTTCAAGCTCAAGACAGCCTCCCGGCGCCGCCCCCTCACCCCCCTCCTGGCCTCTCTGGCTCTCCTGTTGCTCGGTGTCTTACAGGGCACAGCCAGCATGATATGACAGGGTGTCACGTGACAGGCTTGGCTCTGTCACAGAGGCCAGGTGTGACCCTGGGCAAGCACCTTCCTCTCTCTGGGACGCAGTTCCCCTGTATGTACCACGGCAGGCAGTCTCGAGGTCCCACTCATTTGCACAGCCCTTCACGATTTACAAAGGACTTGGCCTGCATTTCCTTACTGAGTCAGACTTGGGCAGGACAGATTCACAAACGGAGAAAGTGAGGCCTTGCTCGCTCAAGACTGAACTGTAATCCAGGTCTCTGGCCAGTCCAGCACTCTTTTCAGCAATCCCCGCCCTGGACACAGGCTAAGGACCACAGAGCTGGGCACTCCCCCCAGCCTTGGCACAGGCACCCACAGGCTGCACTGACGCCCACTTGGCAAGGCCTTTCTGTGGTCTCTGATCTGCAGGGCCTCACCTCAGCAAACAGTGATCCAAACTCTACTCTTACCTCCCTCCTCTGCTGCCAGCCCGAGGCCCCAGCCCCTCACTCCCCCTCAGCCTTGGCTTGACCCAAGTCCTAGCTTGAACCCAAAAGGACTCTCCCCTCCCACCCGCAATCACCCTCCAGCCCCTGAGGCAGGCTCATACCTCAGCAAAACCAGGCTCACAGCAGCGGAAGTGGGAGGACAAGGAAAAGGAGGGGTGTGGAGGCAGCTGACGCCCCTTGCCCACAGCCCACCACCACTGGGACCCCCTCAGAGCCACATCTTCCTGAGTCCCCGTAGCACCTTTAGCAGCCCTGGCCAGACTAGAGGGCCAGGTCATGGCGCCAAGATCTCCGCTCCTCCCTCTCAGTTGGGTATAAAGATTGCCCACTCCCGGGCCAGCTCTGCTGGCGACGTGAGCAGGAAGCCGGTCCTCTATGCTCAGCCTGCATGGAGAGCAGCTCTGGGTGCAAGGCTTGTGGGGCAGGGGGAGGGACAGCATAGGGGAGGGACTTACATGGAGCACCCATAGCTGTGGGGCTCCAAAGGAAGGTGAGGTCACTTTTCTGTAGCGTGAATCCTTCCCTGCTTCCTTCCTGCAGGAGGTGAGGGGCCCTGGCCAGCAGGCCGAGCTCTCCTGGCAGCTCAGCACAGACTTCCTCTAGCCCAGCCAGGAAGCCTTCCCCCCAGAGCAGGGCTCACTCCACACATAACCCCCAGCAGCCAGTAGCTCCTTCCAACCTCTTCCCCCTCTGCCCACCCACCACTGCCCCCAGGACCCAGCTCTGCCCCACCAGCCCGGCCTCTGATGGTCTTCAACCTACGCTGGCCCCAACTATCCTCTCAGGGTCCCAGCTAACAGGGAGCCCCCCACGGCAGAAACCCCTCCTCCGTCCACCCCCTCCTCCCCAGCAGGGCCTTCGCAGAATCCACCGTCGTTGGTGACTAAATAGACAACTGTTGATATAAACGGGAGCCTGAGTCAGTGCTTGGCTGGTGGCTGACTGGCAGGCAGTGGGCAGTGGGAGAGAACTCACTTCCCACAGCTGGTACAGTTTTCTTTCTACCCAGAGCCCATCTTGGGCCCCCAACCTGATGGCCTTCTGCTTTCCAAGCACTGGCCCCCTCTCTGGTGTGGAGAGCAGAACTCACTCCCGAGGATCTGTCTGGGGACCCAGAGGTTCCCTCTTCCTCTTAGTGGGGGAGTGGGGCGGGAGACAAGGAACCAGGCCTGCCCTGTGCCCTGGGTAGAAATGGCCCTTCCTGGAACCAACTTAAACACCCCTTTCTGAACTTTTGGGAAATGATCCACAGCCTCTCCTGAGAAGTCCAAAGTCCAAGTTCAAAAGCAGCTCTGAAGGGGCATGGGGCTGAAAAGAGTTATGAAACATCTTCCACGAGGGCCAAGGCTTGACCTGAGCAGAACACTGGGCCCTGGGGCCCCTCTGGCAGCCTGGCCCTGACCCACCCACTGGCCCAGGTCTCACCCTGCCCCTCCACACTCCACCCTGGCTCCCCCAGGTCACTTTCAGCTCCTCTCCCTGCCCTCAGGCCTCTGTACTCTTTGTTCTCTTTACTGGAATACCATCCCCTCCCCTCCCTGTTGGTCTGGATAGCTCATGCATTTGCCCATGCGTTCATTTAACAAAAATTCCGAGGGCCTCCTCTGTGGACTAGGCCCTGGGCTGGATGCCAGGGACAGGCTATGAACCAGGCAGCCCAGGAAGGCCCCTGTTCTCAGGGGGCTTGTGTTCTAGGGGCAGACAATGGGCAGGTAATGACTGCAGTAAAAAGGACGACCATTGGTAAGGGGCCTTGGAGGCTGGCCTGGGTTTGTCTTAGCTGGGAGGTCACGGAAGGTCCCCGTGAAATCATGGCCTCTGCGTGGTGAGGAGCTGGGGAAGGAGTCTGAGGGATCTGCTGGGAAGGGAGACATCGAGGGAGGAGCAAGCTTGTACAAGGATGCCTGTGAGGCGAACCAGGAGTACTGTTCATCCTCCAGATCTCAGTAAGATTAAAACGTCACTCCCCCGGGAAGCCTGCCCACCCCTCCTCGTGCTGGGTGGGCCCTGAGCTCCCTGCATGTCCCCTGGGACCTCCTACTCATCTGGCTCTCATGTTTAACCATAGGTGCCATGATGGCAAGGCCACAGCTGCCGTGTTGAGCCCTGCATCCCCTCCAAGCACCTGCTGAGTTCTCCCAGTGTGCTCCTCTCCAGTGCAAGGAGGGGAGGTGGGCAGGGGGTGTATATACGCTCAGAGAGGGTCCCTGCACTCTTTGAGGCTGGACAGCCAGAGGCCCCTCACTTAGGCAGCCCCACCCAGTCAGCCAGGAGCAGCCCTGACCATCGGGCACTGCGCAGGCCTCTCCCAGCCACAGCGTGGCCGGCACTTTGCTGGACTGGACTCCAGGGCAGGCAGCAGGGAGGAGAACGGGGCAAGGTGAGACCTTGCTGTGGAAATGTTATGTCGCCAGGCTTCTGGTTATGGTTATGCCACGCTTGTGGTTAGCATCTTCCAGCTTGAGTGAAGACATCCTTAATTATGACTTTGTAAAGTAATTAGACAAATTATATTATCGGACAAAGTATAAAATGCCAAGCATGAAAGGCTACCTTCACTTGGACCCTAAGGCCACATCCTCTAAGCTGGTAAAATGTGTTTCATTTGTGCCGAGCTTGGCTGGATATCTGGGAAACCAGTGTCTCTCCCAGGAATCTGAACATGAATAAATAGGGGATGGGTCTCGATATACTTAAAAAAAAAGGAACTAAAATGCCTATATCAAGAACATAGGCATTGTTCAGGATGCTGGACATATTTTCCTTCTTGATCTGGGTGTGTGATTTTGCAATAATTAATTAAGCAGAACATGTATGAGTTGTGTACTCTTCTGTATGTATGTTAGAATTCAACTAAAAAAAAAACCCAAGTGCCAGAAGTTCTGTAGCTCTGAGGGTGACTCAGAACTGGGCACACAGTTACTGGTTAAGGTAAGAGGGCTGCCTCCTCAAACTGGCCCTGCTGGCCCCAGCACCGGCCAGCACCTCTGCAAGCCTTCTATCTTAGCACTAACCACAGGGCAGGATTACAGTTTTCTGTCCATCCCTCAACCTCACAGGGCACTCTGGAGAACAGAGAATGCATCCATTCCTCTCTGTATCACCTGTGCCTGCCCAGAGACAATGTTCCAGAAATGTCTGTTGAGTGAGAATGAGAATGAGGTGCCACGTGCAGGCACTCAGTGTGGGAGGTGGAGAATGAGCGGCCCAAGGGAGGGAAGCCGTGCCCTGCGGGGCTGGCTGGACCGCGTGGAGATGGTGCTGGCAGAGGCGGGGTAACGCGGGGAGGGAGGGGAGACCTGGACTCAGTGGGGGGGTCGGCAGGTTGACATGAGTATGGACAGGATTTGGGCAGCCGCTGCGCTCCACTCCTGAGGAGGGGGTGGCCTGAGTGTCAATATTGTTTCAGCAGCCGCTTCCTACGTGGAACAGGACTTACCAAGCCTCCCTGCTCTTAGAAACAAATGCATGCAGGTCATTTAAACTGGCCAGCGCTGGCCCTGTTAGCCAGCCGCCATTTCCCTTTCCAGAAGACAGGAAATATCAGGGAACACACACGTTTCCTTGCTTATTTTTTCTGGACAGTTCGGAAAAGCCTTGGGAAAAGAAGATATTGCCGGAATGAGCGTTGACTTACCGAGCGCAGTCGGCTCTGCTATCTCCTGCAAACAGGAGTTTTTGTAGAACACAGCCTTGGACAGCCGCCAGAACCCCACAGGGACCACCCTGCAACGAAGGACATGCGTTAGAGCCTGTGAGAACTGACCCAGGGCAGAGCGGTCTGCTCCTCCAGAACTAGCCTCTGTCCACAGGTTACAAAACACGGGGAGCCCATGCCCCTCTAACAGGGGCCTCTGACCTGGCGACATTCAGTGAAGCACTGACTCTGACTCACAGATCAGGGGCGACTAAGGCCCTGGCACCCATGGCTAGAGGAACGAAAAAGTCTGTAGTGTGTGAGGGGAGGAAAGTGACTCTATCACCAGTCAGGTGTGTCACCATGGGTGTTCTGTCATCCGGAGACATATTTCCACGTCCACAGGCTGAGGGTGTCAATTGTCTACTCAGCCCTCAAGGCCCATCCTAAGGCCTCCTCCCAGGAAGGCTTCTCTGCCCCTCCCAGCCAGAAGCGAGCCCCTTGGACAACCTCCGCGTATGTGAGCAATCTTGAGCTTGGACTGCGACCTGCCTCAGGAACCCTTCGGGTGTGTCTTACAGGGAGAGGGCTCCTTGAGGAGCTCACCTCTGTAGGGATCAACAGGTGCAAGGACTGTCAGAGCAGCAGGTTGTGGGTGACCTTGAACTCGGGTGCAAGAAGACATGCTGACTTGGTTACATTAGGGACAGAAGTGTGAGGGTTCTTCCTCAGGCAGAATGGGGCAGCGGAGGCTCCTGGGGCTTGAGAAATGGAACCTGGATGAGCTGCAAGATTTTGAGCATCATCTGGTCCTGAAAGTGCATATCTTGGGAAATGTGTATCAGCCACCTTCAAATCCTGCCACAATCTACCTACGTTTCCCGGTCTTAGATCACACCTCCTCTTCACTCGCTTCTGGTCCTCACCCTTGGTACTTCTGCCACTTCCTGCATCCCCAGGATTTTCACATGGCCATCCTTTGTTCATGCTGCCACCTGCCTCCAGTGTCCTTTCTCCAGCTCTACCTGCAAAGTCATTTCTCAATCCTCAGCCTAAGGACGCTCTCTGGTGCTCCCAGCCAGACGCAGGGCCCCCTTCTGTTCCCTCTCAGAGAGGATTCCAGCAACATGCATCAGTCATGGTAGGCGGCACGTTCCTGGCTCTTGCTCTGCCAGCCACACGTGAAGTTCCTGCCCACGTGACAACTCGGCAAATGTAGGGCTGGCTCGGGAAATTCTCACGGGATTTACCAGGCTAGGGGATGTGTGCCCCTATCTGTGATGGGCCCATAGAAAGGTCCCCAGGAAGCTTAAAAACAACCTGCCTTGTTCTGCACAATGCCATACTTTAACGAGGCTGCGTCATTAAAGGAAAAACTCTGAAGTTTCCACTCTTCATTGAAACAGCAAAAGCTGGACCCAAACAGAAGGGTCTTTATGTCCTGTCAAAAGAAGAGAGTTTTATTAGTTATTTTAAAAGCAAACAACAATACACTGCTGGGTGTTTGCATTCCCACAGGAGCTGGTCTTGAATTCCAGCAGGGTTATTTATTTTCCAACAGGGTCATCTGTTTTCTTTTTATTTTGCAAACCCATTCTTCTCATCTTTGAGGAGAGAGAAAATTGACCCTGAGGGTCTTGCCTCTGGAACATCTGTAAACCCAATTAGCCTGTGCTGACCCAGGCCAGAATCTATCCATCCATGAAACACAAAATTTTAGATGTTCAGGGGAACTTGGAAGATCTTGGCTATGTGCTATAATCACCTATGAAGCCTGAATGCTCAGGCCGCATGCCAGGCCGACCAAAGCGGAACCCCTGGGCATCAGACGCTGGTATCTGTAGTTTTAAAAGCTCCCCAGGTGATTCCAATGTGCAGCCAAGTTTGAGAACTGGTGCCCTAGCACAGGCTTAGCAAACTCAGACCATAGGCAAAATCTGGCCCCCCGCTTACTTTGTAAATAAAGTTGTATTGAAACACAGCAATGCTCATTTGTTTACACCGTGTCTGTGTTTGCTTCTACATTACAGTGGCAGAGTTGTGTGATTGTAACAGAGAGCCAAAAATATACTATCTGGCCCTTGACAGAAAAAGTTTGCCAACCCCACACTAGTACAACCACTTATAGCACGTAAGCACCTCCTTGACGCCATCACCGGTTAGTGGTTTCCCCAGGAACTTGGCTTGGACATCAGCCACCAAGTGAAGGGGTTCCCACCACCTTCCAAGGCACCTCCTCCATTTTTTCACAGCTCTTTCTTCTCAAAACTTCTGGCTGAAATTGAGCTCCCAGCAATCTAAGCCTCACCCTCCAGAGCCCCAGGAAGTGCCAAACCCTCCCCAGCGACCAGCCCCTGGATGGGAAAGCAGAGCCTTCCCCAGATGCTCCTCCTTCATGCCGGCTGCTTCTCTCTCTGCCGCGATTTTACATCTGAAGGGCCAACACGTGGATTCTGTCACTACTCCCTCAGACCCCTTCTCTGGGTCAGATCTTTTCTACATGCTCGTATTATTTCTCTCCAGAATCAGTTTTTTTTCTCCATTTCATTAAGTACAAGGAAAATCTCTATAACAGCATATGTCTGCATGTCACCAAATGTGGGCTGGCGGCACACAGGACACAGGGACGGGTCAATCACCTGTCAGGGCTTGGTTCCCCTTCCTGCACCAACTGCACTTGTCCATGTAGCTGAACGGAGCTTCCCGAAAGCCTAGAAACTACAGGACCTCGAGTGTTCTGGCTGAAGCCTATGTCCGTTCTCTCGATCACGGAGTTACAGCTCCCAGCTAGGCACAGAATGACTGTCAGGTCACAGGGGCAGAAGCCTGGAAACCTGGGGCCTACTTGCTGCAGATGCCATGTGTCCTGGGTCCTCCTTTTCAGTTTTTCAGGTGCTTTTGGAGATGCGACTGCTCGGTGGTCTTTAGGGGCCTTGAGAGCCCCTCCCAAAGAATCATCGCCCTGTGGCTACAGCCAGAGCACTTACTCCCAGGCTTGGGGCGACTTAAATGTGTCTGACACCCTGTGGTCTCAAAAGAAGGAAGGGAAAGGGAGGGGAGGATGGAGAAGGACAGAAACCTCTAGAAAAACCTTTGACCTTTTTATGTGTGCTGAGTAAATACTTGGGAAGTAGCAAGAGAATAGGGTCAGCTCTGTCCCCAGGAGTTTTATTTTTTCCCTCCTGGTTCCTGGCTGAAGAACCAGCGGAGGACAGTAGGAGCGGCATTCCATCCCACAGGAACCTTGGGGAAGGGCGAGGCCATCCTGCAGCGGAGATGGTGAGGAATCCAGGACATCCCCGCAGAGGAGGTCCCTGCAGAGGAGGCTGCTAAGGCCAGTAACCGGCTCCCTAAGCCCTGTGACTCCAGGAGGCCACTGGTGCGAATCCAGATGGTGCTGAAGAATTGGTAACAATTCCCTGTCCTTCCCTCACTGCAACCCAGCCTGAACCCAGCTCAGGGGACCAGTGCAGAAGCAGAGTCAAGCTAATGAGGACAATTATCCTGGTCCCATCACAGCTCTGGAGTTGCCCACTGAGGATGCTGTGAAGCAGCTCTGGACCAAAAGAAAAGCTGGATCCTGGAATGTTTGAGTGGGAGGAGGTTGTATCCTCACCTTTTGTCTTGGAGAGGGAAAGGGAGCTGCCAGGACTAGACACCCGTTTTTCTGACTCTCAGCTTAGGTTTTCTTCCACATCATACACAAATTTCCATTTTAACAGTGACCGAGAGACGATGATGAGATGAATGGGGCCAGAGCGATGAAAATCACCTCATCCACACCAAGTCAAATCAAGAAGCCTTCAGTTCACACCACACCACTTCACACCAACTCAAATCAAGACGTATCAACTCATCCTTTTCAACTGACACCCACCTTTGCCACTGAGAGGTCGATGGGCTTTGACACTACTTGCAGCTTGAGCATTGACGGGACTGGAGACAGGATGACTTCTTCCCTGACCAGTTCGTCCTCCACATCCTCTGAAAGAAAACCGTGGCCACGTGAGCGCCTTGTTATGATTCGTGGAGAGCAAACCAAGAATAGGAAGCCATTTAACACCCAGGACACAGATGAGTTTTGCGATGGTTGGAATGAGAAGAGGGCTCCTCCACCATCCACCCCTGTCCCCTCTGGGGCTCCTAAGCCTTCATCAGAAGGAAAAAGGCAGAGAGAGAGCCCTTGCTCCTTGTCACCCCCACACAGGTCCAAGGATGCTGGCAAGTGGGACTTGGCTATCTGTCCACTAGAAAGTTCTGCTTGTGGACATGCAGAAACAAGGGCCTTGGGCCTAAGCTGTCGAGTCAGGCCCAGAAAAGTCTGGCTCACACACAAGTCTTACAAAAGGTGGGCATAACCCACAAATCCGTCCCCCTGAGGATGAACATGAAGAGGGCAGAGTTAGGAAAGAAAATGCCCCCATTCCTGAGAGAACAGTAATAGGAGTAATGGACTATCACTACTGTGGCTTCCATTCATTGACCACTTGTGTTTCATCACCTACGCCCCATAACAGCCCCATGAGACAGTAATTATCATCACTCCCATTTACAGATGAGGAAACTGAGGCTTGAGAAGTTAAGTAACTGGCCTAAAGTCGCACAGATAGAAAGCGGCAGAGACAGAATATAAACCCAGGCCAATTCCTAACCGCTCTGCCATCTTGCCAGCCAGACCTCCCTGGACCTCCAGCCACAGGGGACGCTAAGTCACATTCTGGATACAGTCCTCTTACGGCGAGGGCAGCTGAGGCCCAGAGAGGGTCCCATCGTGAGTCCTGGCAGTGGCAGCCCGTGCCCTCCCTGCCGGTGAGGTTCCCTCTTGCCATTACACTCACTGCCGCAGCATTTACCAGAACACTCAGACGAAGGGCCCAAGCGAAAACAGCCCAAGGCAATTATGCTGGCAGAGCTGAGCAGGCCAGTCTCCAGAGAGTCTCTGGAGAACTTCTTTCCCATTTTCCCAAGATTAAATGATTATTTTAAAAGCATGCCACACTGTTGAGAAATCAACATTCTCTGCCATAATTCTGTGCATCTGGGACTATAGAGATGTCACTGTTCCTGTCCCACATCTTCTGAGATAGTGTCCAAAGGCTGACACCCCCAGGACACATGCTTAAATCTAGTTCTACAGCCTGCTTTTCTCCCTGGAGGAGGACCAGGCACAGCAGGAGACCAACTCCTAGAGTCTCAGTCCACAGAAAAGGAGACAGATTCTACCTTTAGGCTGAAAAAAAATTTTTTTAATAAGTCTGGAATTTAAATGAAAACCTTTCTTAGTTAGGGTCTCTGAAAAAGCCTGTGACTGTGGTCTTCCAAAAATACCCTGAAATAAAGACCAGATGTTCACCCAGCAACATACACAGGTCTTAAAAACATGGTGCTGGGTAGAGGAAGTAAGAAAGCAAACTAGATATGCAACACAGCACTGTTTACATCCATTAGAAACACATGCACACAAAACAACACTACACAGTTTGCAAGAACGTGCACAAGCAAGAAGAAATCACTAAATACCAGAGAATGGTTGCTTATGGAGAGCAGGGTCATGGAGTGTGGGGGTGGGATGCAAGGGAAATAAGGAAGGAAGGCAAGAGGGCAGGAGAGGGTGGCGGGAGGCCGATGGGCAGGCTTTGCAAAGATCAGTACTGAGAATGTTCATGAAGGAATAGAGATGTGTGATTAATTCAACTGAAGGCACCAGAGGCCCAAACCAGAGGGGGAGAGTAACTGGGTGCTTCCGCCAGGCCCTGAAGGACCTGCAATGCCTCAGTCCCGACTGTTTCCTGGAGGCCCAGAAGCGGCAGGACTTAAGTCTATTCGGAGGCTTCTGTTTAGTCTGAGGTTGTACAGGAGGGAGCTGGGGCTGAAATGTGCTCTGCTCAGGTCCCATGAAGTAAGTCTGAGGGTGGAGGCTGGGAGCCCCGGAGTGGGGGCTGACGGAGTGGAGCCCCCAGCAAGAAGCAGCCTCCTTTGGCTTCTGCCAGGAGGCAGCTGGCGCCTGTGGAGGGAGTTGGTTGAGGACTGCGTAGCAGGCCTTGGGCCCAGATGTGGCGGGACCGCCATGCAAAGAAAACAAAAGCACTCCAGCAAGACACGTCGGCCAGGCAGACAAAACCAGCTGCAAATACTGCTGGTCTGGAAATGCTACTTTCAAGTCCCTGCTGTAAATACCTGATTGAAAAGAAGCAAGGAATTTTGTTTCCCATACCATTTAATTCATCCTTTGGAGGAAAACATGTACATATATATAGGAATACTAAATAGAGACCCGTATACTTCTTTTCCCATGTCCCTACTCAGGACTTCCCACTGACTACAAGATATCTTCCCCTGGAAGTACCCCAACACCCCAGACTCGGGGATTTCAGCACAGAACCTCTCCAAGCTTCCGTTATGATAACAGACTCCATCTCCCCAACCCTCCACAAGGGACCCAGGCCAAAACCTCAGCCCTCTCCCACATACCGCGCCGCTCCAGCCTCCCGATTATCCTGCCTCTGAAGTGCCTCTTACGCTCCCCTCCAGCCTTTTTCGCTCCTTGATTACAAGAAAGTGTCATCGTTTTTCTACTTGTTCACAGAGCACTTTATTGAGCACCCATGATGTGCCAGGGATTATGTGTGACAGAGGAGGGCCAGAGACGATGAAAACACCATCCCTGCCTTCAAGGAGCTCACCGACTACAGGGGGAGGCAGAGCCCCCGATCGTAAGTGCTAAAATGGCAACAGGTGCAAAGGTTGTAAGAGCAAAAGGCAGGAGACAAATAATTCTGCCTTAAGGGATCAGGGAAGCTTCTCATGAGAGAGAAATACTTAAGCAGGGTCTTGAAATATAGTCTCCCCGATAGAACAATGGCCCCCTCACCAGTCTCCCAAGATCCAGGCTCTTACCCCTAAAACCCACCCAGACACACAGCCAGAGATGGCCCCAAACATCATTCGTTTCACATCACTGCTTAACGAGACCTTGACCACCTTTCGAAGCCCAGTCTAAACACCACCTCACTATGGAAACTTCCAGAACCCACCACCGAGCTTGGCTTATAAGCCTCCTGAAGTGGTGAAGAGCTTCTGGTCATCTGCTTTGCTTGTTGCCATCAAAGGACACCTCTATTTCCTCATGCCACCCAACCCTGCCCTCCAAGAAGGCAAGGCTACTTTTCATTCACCTCCAGCTGCTTTCAACAGTCCTGTCTGTGCCTGGGCACGTGGCTGCTAACAGAAGTTTGCTGAGTTTCTTTGAACCAAAGAAAACTGAACTGGGCTGGGGAAGGGAATGCTGTTCCTCTAACCAAATATTATTCCTTGTTTCTGATCCCTCACCCCAAACTTCTCTTCTCCTTTCTCTCAGTGACTGGGTTTCATGACCTCTTAATCTTTTGTCTCTAAATCGTCAGCTGAGCCACTAGCAAAGAGGGGTCGGCCTCCCTCCGGAAAACACTCAAATACTTCAAACAGCTGGGTTCTGAGAGAATTGCTAAAAGCCTTCCTTCCAATGGAAGCCCTCTGGGTTCTGAAAGCCAGGAACTGCTTCAGTTTATGTCCAAAGAGGAGTGGCTTTCATTAGAAAACCTTAAAGCGCTTTACAGAAAGGCTTCGGATGCCAGGGTTTCCTGGCTCTGTACTTGATTCTGCATAGCCGTGTGCAGAACGAAATCTGCCCCTTCCTCGGTAGACCAGCTGATCCCACCGGCCACTTCTGATGGTGAAAACTCTGAGCAAGTGCTACTTCTGAAGCAAACTAAGCAGAATAAACAAACCCCTGTTTCCATGATTCAGAGGCCGGCCCCCGCCTTTCAACCTCATCAAAGCAAACTGTCAGACGGCGTGTCTCACACAAGTCACTTCTAAAGGGCGAGCTGCTTTCTTCCTTCGGTGTAAAAGAAAGTGCTTAAAAAGAGAGGAAGAGGATGTGAGCAGCTCTTGTACACCAAAATGGTCCCACAGGTAAACTGCCGGCTTCCAGAAGAGCAAGCGCCAACGGCACCCAAGCCTCGTCCTTTCATGTCTGGTCCTTGGCCATCATCCTTTTTTCTACTGCTGCTTTTGCCAACACCAGCAAACACACCAGTCTTCGGCGAGTAGAGAATTCCAGAAACAGGAAAAAAAAATACATGGCTTCAAAATGAAAGAGCGGATGGGTATGTTCTTATCTTGATCCTGGAAAGGAGCTACCCAGATGTATACACGTGTGAGAGGGCACCGAGCGGAACATCAGAGGTTCGTGCACTGATGCACCTCCCTGTATTTTACACCTCAATAGTATATGGGTAAACATTTTTAAAGGATGGACTTCTCTAGACGGACCTGGACTGATACTGTGACTAAGAACTGACTTCTGGAGACCTCTGAAGATGCTGAGTGACCCTAAAAGAACCTCCAAATGATGAAAAGACTCCTCTGCCCACCCCCTGCCCCCTTTGTGGCTCTAAAAATGTCCAGACTTCTTATAAGGATTTCTCCAGGAAAGACAGGCATTGGAAGATGGATTTGGACATCAACCAAAAAGAGAGAAGCCCAGCCTGCTCTACTCCCCGGTCCAGCCCCTGCCTCCTGAGGTCATGTAGGAGGAGAGGAGTCCCCACCCCAGCCAGCAGAGAGCCCCACCACCCACCACCTCCCAGACAGACCAAATGAAGACCCCTAGACCTTGATGAGCACAGCACAGAGGCCCCAGTGGTACCTACCAAGCTGCAGAACACCCGGCTCATTGTCGACTTTGTTGGACACTGGCAACTGACTTTTCCTAGAAGAAAAGGAAATGTCAGTGTACTGGAGGAGAATGACAGAGAAATGCAAACAGCAGAGAAGAATGGGAGGAGCACTGGATGGGGCTTCAGGAGATGGGTTCTCTGTAGCCTTGGCCTGTGGCATTGTGTGTGCCTTGCACCAGCACTCCCCCTCTCTGAGCCACAGGTTCCACATTGGGTGGGACTATATACTTCCAGGTGCTTTTCAGTTGTGTACACACACACACGCACACACACACAGAGCAGCCAATATAGGCTGATAAACCCTGTAGTTTGACACTTGCAAGTTAATTTGCTGATGTGACTGTAATACTGCTGGGAAATCACACACAAACACACACACTCACACACAAACACACACACAACACACACCCCGAATTCTTACAATCACTGCCCAGATTTTTTTAATCTCAATTGTTTGTTGCCTTTCTCCCAGCTTTCTTCTAAAGCTATCAGCAGCCATTTACAAGAAACCTCTAGAATGCACCAAAGAACATGTCCAGTGATTCTGACTTGTAAATTCAAGGATGTGCACCCAGAGCTTTCATAAAATGGCCCACCTGTACTTCAGCTCTCTTTAGATTTTTTTTCTCTTCAGTGTGCATCATTCTGAACTAAAGTAAAATCATTTTTAAAAAGGATGTATTAAAAATAATAACATTACATCACCCTCTTGAAAAACCCATTTACTATGTTAAAAATGACAGCTCTTTTGAACATGGCATTGAAATATATTTTCCTCCAACATCCTTGCAGAGTAAGATATGATTGAAGTAACAATCGTAATCTTGCCACGGTACGTTCTATTGAATTGGCTTCCTCCTGGCGATGTGTGAAGGGGCTGAGTGGAAGACCTCGGAGGACGCGCAGTACCAAATCCCTGATTGCATACTGCTTGGACTCCGGGTTCCTTTCTCCTGCGCTAGAACATGGAGTTCCTTCCCACCTCTCCCAGGCAGCCCTAAGTCTCCCCTTGTCCTCCCTACTCAGTCAAGCCCATTTTCCTCAATTTAAAACCACAAAATTCCTATGCCCCTTTGCTACCAGGATTCTGCAAGCTTTCCTGTGGGAATGGTGAAAGAACAAGCTGGAAACAGGGGCTAAGGCATGGAGGGGCAGTAGAAGGATATGGAGGGGTCAACAAAGAGGCTGTGTCACAGCCACCCCTCCCCAGTGCCCAGCAATGGACAACTGGCCTTTCATCAGAAGCCTCCGCCAGCCACACCTCTCCCACCCCAAACGGTGCTGCACTAAAACCCAGGACCTGAGTCTCATCTCTTGACTATCCCTTCTGTCACTAATTCATCTGGAGACTAAGGCAAGGGGACTTCTCCTTGCTGAGCCTGTCCGAAAAGGAAGGTCTGAGGCACAGGTGCTAGATGGCCTCTAAAATCCCCCTAGAACCACCTCAAGTAGGGAACAGTAGGAGTAAGGACATCTCTGGGACATCCCAAAGGCGGCAAGAGCATCTCTCTGGTACCCATCTCTGCTCTCTGCCTATTCATCTCCGACCTAGATCATTCTAACAGCCCCCTCACTGGTTTCCTGACCCCCAGTGTGATGCCCCACCCTGTGCCAGCCCCCACATCTTCACATGGGTGTCAAAGGTATCTTTCTAAAAAGCAAATATGACCATGCCATGGCTCGGCTGAAATTCTTCAAAGATTCCCCATCAGCATCACCATCATCACCAACAATCATATTTATAAAAATGATGGCAATAATAACAGCACATACTTTCTGATTCTTTTGACTGTTGCAGGTTTTGTGCTAAGTGCCTTGCAAGCAACAAAAGTCACCTGCTCCTCAGAACAGCCTTATGAAGTATTAGTGCACTAAGTCTCAGAGAGGTCCAGTAATTTCCCCAGAGGTACACAGCAAATAAACGGCAGCACAGGAATTTGAACCCAGGTAATAACTCCAAAGATAATGACAGCAACCACCACACACACTGCTTCCTTATAACACAAAAAACCCAGGCCCACTAGGGTGCCCTGTGGGCTATCTATGACCTGACCACCTGCCCCCCCAGCCTCATCTCCCTCTCCACCCTCCCTCTCCACCTGCATTTCCTCCATGCTGAACTGCCCATGTCTCTGCACCTTTCCATAAGCCATTCACTCCAGCTAGAATATACTTTGGCAAACTCATACTAATCCTCTACAGCCCTTTGGAATGTTACCTTCTTCTCAGCCTCAATACATGCATTCATTCATTTCTTCACTCGCTCACCTAGCAAACATGTAGCAGTTAACTGGCAGTGCTGTCTCCCTGCCCAAAGGAGACCCAGTTGAGTAACATAAACAGACATAAATTGCAACATGTTGTGGTGTGGTAGGCTGAATAATGGCCCCCAAAGATATCCACATCCTAATCCGTAAAACCTGCAAATGGTACCTTACATGTTAAAAGAACTTTGCAGATGGGATTAAGTTAAAGATCTTGAGATGGAAGAGAGTATCCTGGATTCTCCAGGAGGGGCCAACCTAATCACAAGTGTCGTTATAAGACGGAGGCAGAAGGAGATTTGACACAGAAGAGGAGAGGTGATGTGATGAGGAAGCAGAGGTGAGGAAGGGGCCACAAACCAAGAAATGAGGGTGTCCACTAGAAGCTGAAAAAGGCAAGGAAACAGATTCTTCTCTAGGGCCTCCAGGAAGAACTGCCCTGCCAACACCTTAACTTTAGCCCAGTGGAGCTGATTTCAGACTTCAGTCCTCCAGAACAGTGAGATCATAAATCCATGTTGTTATTAGTCACTAAGTTTGTGGTAATTCGTCATAGCAGCCATGAGAAACTAATACACATAGTAAGAGAAACAACCAAGGAGGAACGAAGGCCTGCAGGATTCTCTTGGTCGCCTCTGTGCCCTGCGTGCCCAGCACCTAGTAAGTGCTCCATACACGGGTGACCCTCACAGAAGCTAGGTGACTCACACAGATCACGCAACTTAGCAGCCCCAGAGCCAGGACTCAAACCCAGGCCGCTGACTCTGAATGTTCTGTTTTGCTCCTTTTTCTATTTTATGCTTCCTTCCCCTGCCCAGAACTCTCCATGGCTTCCTGCGGGCCAGGGGACAAAGTCCAAACCTCCCAAGTGGCTCCCTTGGCTCCCAAGGGCAGAACCGCGGCGGCACGCTGACCAGGCCACGAGCCGTGGGGAGAGGGTGGGGATGAAGTGCCCACTGCGTAGGGTGGAGCTGGGCCTCTTTCCAGTCATGAGACTTCCACCCCAAGGCCATCCATCAGCTGCAAGAACGAAGCTCAGATGCTTTGTGCCGTTCCCCATAGATCTCTTCACCAGAGGAGACCTCGGCAGTGCTCACACTTAGGGAATGTGCATTGTTCCTTTCATGTGCCCCTTTGTGGCCTAAGTATTACAAAGTTTAAAAGGTCAGTTTAAAAGCATGTTCTTGCCTTTGAGTGAAACCTATTATGAAAAACAATGACAAAAAGATAAATCAGGGATTCAAAACACTTTTTCCAAATGTGATCATGCAGATAACCCGGAGACATGTGTCAAAGCGTGCATCTAATAAAACCGCGGGAGCCAGGCTGTAGACACGCAGCTTGCTTGCTGGGTCTAGGGCCTCCACTTTCCAGCCGAGCTCCTCTCTGTGCCCTCAAGGGAGAGACAAGGGCCAGGGCACTGCAGGTGTTTGGGGCTACATGGGACCAGGACTCAATCCCTGAATAACTGAGTCTTGGGTGGGTAGAAAGAGCCACTCAGAGACTAGAGCTCTTGCCCCTGACCCTCCAACTCTGAGTGATCTTGGGCAAGTAACTTACCCTCTGTGGGCATCAAACGCATCATCTGAACCTTGGGTGAAGCCTCAGCCAGACCATTCACTGTGGAAGATGACCAGGCGCGGGGGCTCTGAGAGGACTGATGTGCTGGGTTATGCTGTTCCTGAAGATGCTCTGTGGCTTATGCACCCAAACTCAGAATAGTTCACCAGCTCTTAACATAAGAACAGAGACAAGGAGATGCTCCTTCCTCGAAGTTTGGTACTGGATACTTGGCTAAATTAGTTATGATTACAAAAGAAAGATACCCCATGAGAATAAAGACATCGATCACTTACCATATATTCTGTCTGATGAAAAGACAGTGTGAATGGCATCCAAAATGACCCCACCCATGCAGCACTAGAATCCAGAATATGAGAAATTAACATGGAATTTTCCCAAGCCAGCGATATCCCAGCACCTCTGACAGAAGTGATGTAAAATTGTCTAGAGGGGCACTTCTACAAAGCAGGTCACACAAGACTCCCCCAGGGGAGAGAAAGGTTTTTTTAAGGCCCACTGAAAATACGCTTAAAACAAAAAGCTGTTATATATACATACATATAAGATCCACCACAAATGAAAGTCAACTGACACAACAAATACGACTCCCAAGAACTGGAGATAATACAGTAACAATCTAAAAGAGGCTGTAATTAGAGAGAGAGGGGAACTTTTTTTTAAAAAGGATTGGAAATCATACAAAAAGAAATGGACACTACGAGAAAAGATTGGGCATCTCGGAAAAGCAAATACAGTCATAGAAATTAAAAACTTGTGGGCATATCATGATGGTGATGGATAATGACGTATTAAATACGTGTTTTTTAATCCATGAATCTGCGACTAGAGGAGGAAGGAGACGGGGCTGGGATAACAGATAACAGAAAGTACTTCTTTACACAACACCGTTAACCAAGAAATGGAAAAAGAATTCAATCAGTATCAATAAAATGATATTGATTGAACTGAAACTTCAAGTCAATTATGGTCAAGTTTAAGAGCAACCATTAAAACAGTAAAAACATAGTATATAACTTCCAAACCAGAACGCAGAAGAAATAAGAATACATATCAGCTGATGCACAAGAAAGTGCCACTGTGAAAAACAATTTGGCCTTTCCTCAAAAAATTAAACATAGAATTAACATATGACCCTGCAATTCCACTTCCAAATCACCGAAAGAACTGAAAATAGGGATACATGT